CAGTCAAATCCAAAGTCCGAATCACCAAACATACCTGCAATCACATCAAAGATCCAACCAAAAGTCTATGCATTACACGGGGTCAACATCAACCATTCTCTGCACTCACACCCCTTGCTTTTAGCCATACAAACCTCACTCTTGTGCAACTCCTCAAAATAAAATACGCAGTACTTTTCTTTAAATGGCCATTTAAATAAAGTCCGGGTGAAAACACAATAAAACATTTCAAATCACAAGGCTAAAGCCTTTAGGTTGAGTGGCAGGAGTGAATTGGAGTTGAATCGTAAACCGGCGAATCGGCAACCGACCTGTTATCAGTGATAAAAGAAGGTGATCCTTGTAGGATCAAGCTGAATCTAGCCCATATCCTGAATCAATCGATCAAGAAGACCTGTAACACAAGACAGACCAATCCCCAAGCTAAGTCTATGAGTTCATGGAGAATAATCTTCATATTACGATTTTACACAAATCATCATATTTAACTCAGTCTAAGCCTACCTGTAAGCAAGTGCCAAAAGAAAGGTAGACCCTGACAGAATCTCCTCTATACAGAGTGAATTTTCCAGGATTGTCACCTGTCAAAATATAATCTAGCTCCTTTAAACTAAGGAAATTTCGGCAGCGCTTCCCGAAGGAAAGTGATATTCCAAGATTTATAGCAGCTTGAATACGGAGACAGAAATAGTCTTCAACTTTTCAAAGTTCAATTTTTTCTAACTCCCTGAATTAGCAAAAATTTGGGCAGCACTCCCTTTAGAAAATGACGTTTGCCAGATTTCTACTTAAGCCATATATAAAATGTAGACAAGTTGAACTTCGAAAGGTCAAAATTTATCTAACTCCTTGGATTTGTAGAAATTTCAGCAGCGCTTCCCGTAGAAAAAGTAGATTACCAAAGTTTATACAAGACCAAGTACAACAAAAGATCTCAGAGAATGCAGAAATTGACCTAAGTAAAAATAAACTTAGCTAAGAAAATGCAGAAATTGAACTAACTCCTATCGCTCTAACACATGGCGAGCCTCTGAAGCAACTACCTGTCAAGTTGAAACTCAGACTAAGTAGTAGTCGCACTCAGTCACATGCAGGCAAAACCACAAGGAGTAAGTACTCTCACCATCCCCAATTCAAAATCCTCATAGATAGCTTATGAATCTTTCAGATGATTTAACCCTTGTACCCAACTTACATACGACATAGTGCTAGACCATTCAACTTAGAAACAATGTCTAGCATGCCTTTAGGATATACACTAACAAGTTGCACTACTACTTTTCTCTTCTTTGGGCATTTGACTAGACCATTCGGCTTAGAAACAATGCCTAGCAGCCCTGAACTGTTTAATATCCAAACTTTAATATTTTTCTGACTTTGTTCTCAAAAGAAAGTGCAAATATGGGCAGGGGACTGAACAATTCGGCTTGGAAACAATGTTCAGCTTGCCCAGATTATTTCTAATTATACTCTGTAATTTTTCATTCCCTTCTTGGTGATATGGCTTAGCATTCGACCACTCGGCTTGGAAACAATGCCCAACTGCCAGTTCACATGCAAATATAAGTAAAGTACTTTCTTTTATACTAAGTTTATACTTATGTGCGTGGTTTTCAGGTTAAACCATTCATCTTAGAAACAATGTTCAGCCTTAGACAAAAAATTATCCCTCAGAATAAAACAAGAAAAACCCTTTCACATCAGGCAACCCTCAGAAAATAAACATAGCAATCAGGCCATTCAGCTTAGAAACAATGCCTGGCCCCTCAGAAAACAGCCAAATAAACATAGCCCTGGGCCATTCAGTGTAGAAACAATGCCCAGTCTTTAGTTGACCCAGTCAAACGCATGCAGTTTGTCTTCCTCCTACCTTCCCCCAGTTCATCTTTTAGTCTACTTTTAGTCAAAATAAAGAGAAACTTAAGCTTCACACACATGCATTTCTTCCATTCAGTCTGATTATGTCATGAACAAAATCAAAATCATAGGGACAATTTGATGCATACATCAGTCAAACTAAAAGAGGGGTATGCAAACATGGGTATAGTGGGGTCGTAGAGACTGAAGAATGTATACCTAATAGTTCCCTGCCTCCAGAACCTCGCCTAGGTTCCGGCAGAGCTCCCGCAATCGGTGGGTGGACTCCCCACAGAGTCTTGATACGGTCCTACGGGTTGCAATCCCACCTGCCGCCTTCCCCTCTTAACAGGACTAGACTTAGATTTAGAAGGGCAGAAAGAGAAGGGTTTTGAGATTCTCATATCCAAAGAGGGTGCGCTCAGACTCGCAAGAGAGGGCCTTGTTATCTTCAATCGCCTGAGGGCCCCGCTGTCGGAAGTAAGGGTATTTGGCCATGTTTTTGCATTCGACACGGTGACGACGTCGGCTACCATGACGGAGCCAGTCTAGAATGGAAAGGGTGTGCACGCTTGAGTCTGACACTCGAAACGAATTCCTCGACCATTGAGGCCGGGGCAAAATCGGTGAGAATTTTTCGTTAAGTATGCGAGCGCATTGTTATGACGCATGTTGTGAAGGTTAGGATCTGCAGTAACACCCTTTGACCGAAGAGGTTGAGGGGTCGATAGGGTTGATGTTATAACGAGGAGATTTACGATGTATGCTGAGACTTAATCATCAGTACATTAGTCAGAATAAATTAATACACTCCCGGTCGTACAATCGAAGTGATTATTGGTGTATGATTATCGGGGTTGAGGTATAGCCCCCGATTGTTGACGTTTGCTCGAGCGGTACCTTTATCCTTACTAGTGCACCGTAAGCGAGGTTGAGGCTCAAACTCAGCCTCTCGTAGGTAGAAAGGGAGCCGCCCTGGGGAGGTGACTTCCTGACCGCATGACTACCCAAGTGACCGATGCCTTCGTCCCTCTGCAGAGGGAGACACCGTTGCAAGTTTTGATATCGTTTGCACGGGGTCTAGACTGAGACTACTTGACCTAGAGCCCGCCTACCTAACGGTACTGGGCCTCTAAAAATGCCAACTTTTGTTTTCTTCTGCTCAACCCCGAGTACCCGACGCATTTACCTCTACGTAGTGAGGTACCGACCGCCTGCTACTTAAGTGTGTCCGCTGCCGCGAGCCTCTTTTTTTTCACTACTTGAGTGTTTTCCGCGCTGCGACCCTCAATGTCTCGGCCACGACTAAGTACCGGCCCTTCAGGCCTTCCGAACGATTGAGTGCCCTTACAGGGCATGCACTCACTCAAACCGGCGAGCACACAAGCAGACACGCAGACCAGCAAGCGTGCATGCACGCACAGACTCACAAATGGGCTCCGACCACTAGGTGGGCGGAGCCTCAATCCTCTAGATTTACCTGAGCGGCCCCTCTCTTGACAAGAGTAGGAGCTAGCTCTGTAGGTTTAGGGTCAGGGTTGTCAAGCGGTGGATGCAGGGAATGAATCCAACCGATCGCTAAGCTAGCTCCTTTTGTTAAGGAGCTCTGCAACAGTTTCGCCCAGACTCAGTCAGGCCGGGACTTGAACCCGTGACCTCGAGATCAAAGGTCAGTTAGAGAGTTGGTTGTAGGTTGCCCCGTTGAAATGGGGCATGACACTTGGCAAGTCGTGGTGGTTAGTAGTTAGATTTGCTTGTTTTTCCTTTATTATTTATTTTTATTTAGTCATTAGTTAGATTCGTTTCTTTTAATTATTATTTTATCAAATTCTTATTATTTCTAGAAATTTTCGATCCCGTATCTACTCCCTACGAATTGCTTTAGTGAATCTGTTCGGATAGTCGGGCAGATTCGTTTCCAAACGAAGTCTGCTCGACTCCAAACTCATCAGCTGGCTTTGGCCTGCGAGCGTCGGCTGCATGCTCGTCGGGCGACGCGGCAGGTGCGCAGCAAAGGGGAAGGATAGCGCATGGGCGGAGAGAGCAACGCGGCGAGCCCGGGTGAGCGGCGGAGTAGCATTGCATGTAGGTGGTGAACGTGGTATTGAACGGAGCAAGGAGGAGCGCGGGAAGCTACGGAGAAACGCGTGGCGAAGTGCAGCAAAGGAACGGGGGACAAAGAAGGAACGCGTGAGTGGCGAGTAGAAGAGATAGCCGCGAAGGGGAGAGGAGTAAAAGAAGAAGAAGAAGAAGAAGAAAGAGGAGGAGGAGGAGGGATTAGGAGAAGAAAAAAAAGGGGAGGGGTTTCGTCGCGACGGGGGTTGATTGTTGTAATTATCAATCTTGCATGAGGAATGCCTAGTAAAGCGCGAATCATCAGAGCGCACTGATTATGTCCCTGCCCTTTGCTCACACCGTCGTCACTCCTACCGATTGAATGGGCCGGTGAAGTGTCTGGATCGCGGTGGTCTCGACGGTTTGCCGCCGGAGAGGGCAATTCACCTACGGCGACGACGACGACACTGACTCCGACGACAACGGTGACGACAACGGGGGAGCGAGAGAAAAGAACGGGTAGGTCTCCTTCTTCGCGACCGATCCCGGTGCTTCCCTCGATAAGATGAGCAAAATAAATAAATGAATAAATAAATTTAAAAAAAAAAGAAAAAAAAAAGAATGAATAAATCCCTACAACATGGGGATATACACTACCACATGTGTGTGTATGTGTGTGTGTGTGAGAGTGAGAGAGTCTATAAGTCTCACCTGCGGCTCACCGCGCGCTACCTCGATCGATAGAATGAGCAAATCAGAAGTGGAAGTTTATATTTCCACGTTTCAGCGGAAGATTCATTCCGTTTTTGCTCATCATATCGATGGAATGCATGTGTGTGTGTGAGTGTGTGTGAGACGTTCATGATTCGACCAAGGTGTAGGTGTGTGTGTGCGGGTGTGTGAGAGAGAGAGAGAGACGATAAACCTTCAACCTTGGCCAAGTCTCAACTCCACAGCTCGCCGCACACTACTTGGATCGACAAAACAAGCAAATCGAAAGGTGGCAGTGTATATTTCTCCGTTTCAGCAGAAGATTCATTTCGATTTTGCTCGTCCTATCGATGGAATGTGTGCGTGTGAGACGTTCATGATTCGACCAAGGAAAGGGAGAGAGAGAGAGAGAGAGAGAGAGAGAGTAATAACGTCCGGCGGATTGTGTATAGCCGGATGTGAGAGCGAAGAGGCGGATGAACGATGGAATGAGGCGGTGTTCCACTCTCGGTTGGGCCGCGAAGTTAGTGGTAAACGGCCAGCTGACGGACGTCGGTGAAGTCGGGATGTCGCGTGGGTGCGTTTGGTGAGTTTTCTGCCAGCTCTCCTCCTCCGGCGCTCCGTCATGCCGTCGTGCTCCTCTTCCGCTTATGACAATTGTCGTCGTGCCATGTTGCCCTTCTCCTTTTGCACGAGGATGTCCACCATCTCGATTTCCTCCATTTTCCCATTTTTACCATGTCTCCTTCTTCGTTCTCTGGACATAAGACCTTTTCCTCCTCGCCAACCCTGCGTCCACGTTGTCGATGAGAACTGTAATCGACGTTGCTAAATAATGTCACATCCCGACGAGATGGTCCCGACTCGCAAGTTCCACGTGTGCGTAGGCGGGTAAGGGTCGGTACACAGAGGCACATCCACACGATCACACACACACACACAGAGTGAGAGAGAGATATGAGAGAAAAAGAGAGAGAAGGAAGGCGAGTATGGCTAGGCAAAGGCGGTGAAGATGAGTGCGCTGGGTAATGGGCCTAAGCGGCATAGCAAGGAAGAGATCGGTGTGCGGTGTATCGGGAATGAGGCAGGAAGCACGAGTAGGAAGAAGATAAAGATGCGGGAGGAGAGAGAAGATAGCACGAGAGGAGCAAAACGGAGATGGCTGCACAAGGAGAAAGGAGGCGTGAGGAAGAAGGAGGAGAAGGGGAAGAAGATAAGAAGAAGAAGAAGAAGAAGAAGAAGAAGAAGAAGAAGAAGAAGAAGAAAAGAAGAAGAAAGACAAGGGGAGCGAGAGTACTTACCTCCTCTTCTACAGTCGATGATGGCGACACTCCGGGCATGGGTATGGAGGACCCTGTATCTGAGTACGAGGGACTCTCTGTACATGGCTTGGGTGGTTTCCAGACTGCAGGGAGCATTGTGACGATGACGACGACGATAGGGGAGAGAGGGAGACTTACCTGTGACGCCAAAGCCCAGCCACCATAGCAGGTGAGCATGGACTACAATGAGGCGCAGGGGAGGTCTTCCGGTGTAACAAAGGACAGACGTGGGTGTAGTCAGGGGATAGGTGAAGGATGATGATGATGATGACGTGTGCGCACTTACCTTGTAATGACGACGGGTTGCATGGGCGACACCTTCAAGTACTTCGGTTGCTGCTGATGTCAACAGTTGCAGTGTTAATTTGTAGGCTGTAGAGGAGTAGGCTGGGCGTTGAGAGCCAAGAAGGAGAGTGAAGGGACTGCACTCTTGTATAGTATGGAGAGAGTATGTTCTCCTGGACATTGGTTCTCAGTACTACGAACCGCCGTTGGTATATCATTGGTGCAATGCTGCTCTCTTGACACGATTTGACTATCTGGCTCTCAATGTGATGATGTAATCTGGGTATGTCGTCTCGCTGTTGCTTATTTTCGATTGCCTATTATTATTATTATTATTATTATTATGTTGGTTGCACGGTATGCTGGGGCTACACGGCATCAGCGAAAGGGGAACGAGGTAGTGAGTGAAACGAGGAGCTTACCTGATGCTAGTGCGTGCGGTATTGGCCGCGCTTCAGAGGAGTTGATGGCGTCATAGAATAGATAGGATCTGCCATCGATAATTTAGCGCCAGGTAGGACGTTGACAATGTATCTGTGTCGGCGGTGGTGAAACTATTACAAGCATTGTCTTCTGCTGTGCTCTCATTTGGTGTGATGCGGTTCTACTTCGGAGATCACGGTTATCTGGTCTCATGGGTGTAATGCAGCTTGATCTCTGAAGTTCGCTATCACTCATTCTAGTTATTTATTATTGCTATTGTTATTATTGTTATTATTATTAATATTATTATTATTATTATTATTATTATATTATTATTATTATATTATCAACAGTCAGACTCGATATCTTTCACGCTTCGCACGTATGCGAACCGGCACGTAACAAACTGGCCACGGGGGCCGCTCAAAACTCAGAAATATGGTAGCCAGGAACAAGTTCACTTCTGATGACTATAGCGCAATAGCACCCGACGACGCTCTGTTCGCATACACCGGATCGCCTAGGGCATTCCACACGTGGTACTCCGCACTCGCACAAGCACACACGCATGCTACACACTGACTCGAAGACAACCATGACCACGATTAGTTAATAAAGAATAATTCTTATCAGAAATAACAACTTCACGAAAATTTTCTATAAATCTATTGCTATGCTGTGTCATTTCGGCCCGGGGATCGCTGCAGGCTTCCTTGCACAGGTCGCTGTGCCAGCGCTTCTGCATGGCTCGCGCAGGGTTGAATGAACGACTAGGTGCTGCTCCGGAAGCTCGTTGGTCTACCCTGTTCCATTGACAGTAGTATTCATGTTCCCTCGTGGTACCCGCTGGACTGGATTGGGACAGACATACACAGTCTGTGTTGAACAGACCCGGACTGGGACAGACGTACACAGCCTGGGACAATCGTACACAGTTTGAGCTAAACAGACACAGTCTGGGACTGATAAGACACGGTCCGAAACAGACATGCACAGTTTGAGGCAGACGGACAGTCTGGAGCACACACCCAAATACGTGGTCAACGCTGTGACGCACGCAGACATATGCTGTGACGCGAACAAATACTGTGACATACACGGTCACAATGACACACACACACAACATACATACACGGACAAGAGTGAAATACATACATACACGGTGTGGCATGTACACAGACACTGTGACATATATAATGACATGCACTCAAACACATACAGTCACACAGAGGCATACACAGTGACATGGTCACAATGACACGCGCACGCAACATGCATAAGTAGTTACGGTGACAGACACAGTGAAACCACACAAATATACAGTCACGCAGATGAAGTGACAAGGTGACACATACGCTGCGGCACACACAAGGTGACACAGTCATACCGTGACAGGTACGCTGTAACGAAGGCACTAAGACACAACCACACACACACGCTACACTCTACCAGCTACGATTGTCGCCACCTACCCTATCCTATGGCTACTTCCTTAACCACTACATTCTGCGGGCATCTGTAGGCCACCATTGCACGGGCCGCTGTAGCAGCGGCTCTGCGTGGCTTTTGCGGGGTAAATGAATGGCTCAGCACTACATCTTGAGTTAAACCCTTGTTTTGTACGGACCTGTTTCATCAGCCCAGTGGTGTTCACAGTCCCTCGTGGTACTTGCGAAGATGGACTGGGACAGTTGTAGTCTGAAACAGACAAACTCGGACTAAGGACAAACACGGTCTGAGACGGACAGGTACAGTCTGAGCCAGACAGACAGGGTCTGAAACAAATAGACGCAGTCTAGGACAGACGGGCACAGTCTGAGCCAGACGGACACAATTTAAGACAGACAAAAACAGTCTGGGACAGATGGGCACAGTCTGAGCCAGACAGACACAGTTTGAGAAAGACAAACGTAGTCTGGGACGAACAGACAAAGACCGACGCGCAGATATGTTGCTAGTATGCAATCACGTGGTACACTACAAAGTGGTTGCGGGCCACTAAGAGCGCAACATTGACACCACGCCCGCACGCAGGCATGAGGTGGCGTGAGCCTCAGCCGGACAAAGAGATACTATCAGGGCTATGGCAGGCATGCCGAATTAGCAAGCATGCACCCACACCGCTTGCAAACAGGCACGCAAGGGCAGCAAGTGTGCATACACGCTAGCTTGGGGGATTGTGAGCTTCCAGCCGGGTTGTCCAGTCTGAGACTGCGAGCCATCGCTATGATAAGACGGAGTGACGAGGTTGGCAGGGAAAGGGGAGACCGAAAAGGGGAGAAATGAGAGAGGAACGAGAAAGGGAGGAGTTCTGACAAAGGGAAAACATCAATAAAAGGACATCTTCTTTTCCTTAGTCTGATTAATATGATACTATTATTATTATTATTATTATTATTATTATTATTATTTGTGTTATTATTATTGTTATCATTATTATTTTATTATTTTATTATTTAACTGATTGATTATTTTTGCTACCTTTGTTAGATACTACTGTTATCATTAGGCATCAAATAAGGTCGGAGATGATGAGAAGAGTATGGGGCATTGGAGAGGAGGGRGACGCTATCACTTGTGATGGTACCCTCCTCCTCCATCCTCCTCCGTACTTATCTTCGTGTGTTCCTCTCAGATGCATGCCCCTCGACCTTACTAATTAGGGTTTGATCCCCGTTGAGTTAACCCTGACCTCAGCTAACCCTAAGAGCCAGCAATTGATTGCATGAGTTGTATATGACCAATGACAGGGCGATTGAGGGAGCTCTCCCGGAGTTTAGGCAGAACTCTGGAGGTAAGGAACAGGGAGGTATGTGTGCTTCTACATAAACCTATAACCTCATGGGACTGCCTATGATAATACTGAAGGAGTGAATACTTTGAGCCAGGGATCCTTCAGGGCTAAACCCGGGGACAGGAGCCATATTTATATGTATGTATATTAAGCGATTGAGAGGAGCGAGGCTCTAAGAAACCTGCCTCATCGCGATATCAATATTTATCTATATACATATACTAGGCGATCGAGAGGAGTGAGGCTCTATGAAGCCTGCCTCATCGCCATATATCTATTTATATATACATAAACTAGGCGATCGAGAGGAGCGAGGCTCTATGAAGCCTGCCTCATCGCCATATATCTATCTATATATATGTAAACTAGGCGATCGAGAGGAGCGAGGCTCTATGAAGCCTGCCTCATGGCCATATCTATAAGTATACTAGGCGATCGAGAGGAGCGAGACTCTATGAAGCCTGCCTCATCGCCATATATTCATCTATATATAAACTAGGCGATCGAGAGAAGCGAGGCTCTATGAAGCCTGCCTCATCGCCGCACCTAAATATGTATATTAGGCGATCGAGAGGAGCGAGGGTCTAT